TCGCTGGTGGCGTCATCCCAGACCGAGTGCTGCTCTGAGGGCCTGGTGTTGACTGTTCAGAATCCTCCCGCCTTTCCCCCCGCCATGCCTTAGCTTTTTTCCTGGGTTCCATCCCCCCTTGGCACTTACACACTTGTATTTTATTTATTTTATTGATGTCAGAGAGGACAGGAGAGCTAGAGAGAGAGAGAAACATGAATGGTGAGAGAGAATGATGGGTCAGCGGCCTCCTGCACGCCCCCCACGGGGGATCGAGCCCAGAACCCGCCACGTGCCCTGACCGGGAATCAGACCAGGAATCCCACCGCGACCTCCCGGTTCATAGGTCCACCCCCAACCGCTGAGCCACACCGGCCGGGCTGCTCTTACACACTTTTAACGAGCGATTCCACCTATTCTCCCGCGGATCCATCCCGCACACCATAAACAAAGATTAATTTCAAAGGCATGGAAGATGTCAATGGAGAAACTTCCTAAAAGTTTTATAACTTCCAGGAGGGAACCTAGGAGGAGATGTTTGTGACCTTTAGGCAGACTGAAGTCACCGCGCCCGTGCAGCAGGGTGATGGGCCCCTCCCCGAGGCGGTACTGGGAGGATACACAGAAAGGGCTCCGCACGGCGCCTGCAGTTGGTGATGCTGGCGGACGGAGAGATGGAGTTTGGAATCTTACAGCTACCTGGTGTGCACCGGGCCATGCTCTGACAGCGAGCCTCCTTTATCCCACCGCGGTTGGTTCTCATTCTTTTTCCCATTCACGAAAGTTCTCTGAAATAACGTAGGTTCATTCACCATAGACCAATCCTCTAAATACAGTGTTTTATTGGTTCACAAAGGGTCATTTTAAGCAAACGTTATTCTACTCTGATACATTGTTTTTGAGAAAAACTTTCATTCCTATCACTCTGCCATTGAGGTTTGTGCAGTAACCTTGGTCGGCAACAAATAAATGTGGACCCAGCGATTTGTTCATGCTTAAAGTGGAAGGTGGCAACATTAAAGTAATGTTGCAAATGGAGTTTATTTCTTAGTATTTTAGTAAGCAGTCTACCAGTGAGCGGATGAGATGTGCATTTGGGATAAAAAATAAATTAAATTTTTGCACTTTTTATAGATGCTCCACACCAATAAGAAGGAAAGTTGTGGTACATTCATACAATACGATACTAGATGGGACAACAATGAAAAAGAACAAAGTTCCGCGACAAGAAAGGACATGGAGCAGACGATACCGTGGAATGGGCCGTAGCTTGTGTATAGCAAAGTCCACAAAATCGTAAGTACAGTTTGACAAATTTTTGCATATGTGTACAACCGTGTACCCACCTCCTAGATCAAAATACAGCCATTTCCAGCATCGCAGAAGACTCCCTTTGTGTCCTCCCGTACATGCCTTCCCCTCCCTGAGGTAACCGTTATCTTACCTCTACTACGATAAATTACTTTATTCTTATAAATGGAATTATAATACAATGTACTCTTTCATGTCTGGCTTCTTTGGCTCAACTTTATTTCTGTGAGATTCATCATGTTGTTTTATATAGCAGAAGTTCATTCTTTTTTCTTGCTGAATAGTATTCCATTATATGCATGTATCATGTTTATTTCTCTTCTTATTTTTCATGGATGTTTAAGATGTTTTAGTTTCGGGTCAGTATGAATAAATCTGATACGAACATTGTTGTGTATTTGTTGGACATAGCACTCATTTCTGTTGGAACATATGC